AATGAATGGAAATCCAAAGTTTCTGTAAATTTTCATTGAAATGAATAATAAAAAAATTTTTTAAAGTATATAATGTTAAAAGAAATTAAAAAAAGAACACTTGCTGAAATTTAAAAAATTCCCCTTGATATCTAAGTTCAGACATGTGACAAAGGGCAGAGAATTTTTTTTAATGTTTGTTCAAAACTAAGAACAAATACAGAAATGATAATGTTTTAGTACTCTCTTCCCAAAATTAACAGTGTACATATAATTACTTAGAGCATGTATCTTTTCGCAAGATCTCTTTCAATAACTTACAGCTGATTTCTGATTGATATACCAAAAGACCTCAAAGGATGGTACTTGAAGGATCTGGGCAGGGGGTAGCAAGCGGCTGAGACAGGAGCAGATAATAGTGTATCAAAATCTGTGATCAAGTTCTTTTCAGATAGGAAATATGCGATCTCCCCTGTATGTTCAGCCTGTTGAACAGGACTTTGTAAACACGTCAGCTGCTTCGTGAAGTCACTGTATCCCCTTCCAGCTTTTTTCTTTAATTGGTGTAGTTTGGGTGTGGGTCGACATGAACCTGCTGCCTTTAGCATGCACTGATACCCAACCCTGACTGGACTAGTCCTGTGGCTCTGGGAGTTCCAAGGTGGTGCAGAGGCCAGAGCATATGAGTCCTGACTGGCCAGCACTTCTTTGGTCAGTGGAAAGCCAACCACTAACCCCCTTCCTTTATGAAACTGAGTAATCCTCAATAAACTCTGTATTTAGCGTAAGTGCGCTCCCACACACAGCCACCCCCAACCTATGAAAATGTCCATTTCTTAATCTGGAAGGGAAGTATCCTTTTTATTCTTAAAAATATTCACTCTTAAAAAAAATTCACTCTTATAAGAAAGATATTTCCTAAAATATGAACAGAATGGGTACAGAAGGCATACAAGTTAAACACTTTAAATCTTAGGTATAATAAATATAAAAAGAAAGGCTAAAATAAAAAGAGATTTCAGAGTTCATGGCCTTAGTGCTGAATCTCAAACTAACAGTAGAAGGAAGAAAGTGTATCATGAAAACAAGTTTTAATCTACTTTATAAACTAATGTACAATTGTGTTATTTGGTAAGTATTTTTTAAACAAATAAAAATAATTTTCATATAATTTTAGGTCAGACTACTTTAAAGGAACAAACAAGGTGAGTTAAGTACTACTTTTCTCAAAATGGCTCCTGGCTTTTTCCCCTAGAAAGCCAGTTATTCTCAGAACTGATGAAGAAGCTTTGTATTCTGCTGTTTTCACCTCCTGAACCTAACTGCACGCTGCCCACAGGTGGACTGAGCCGAACAATAGGAGTGTCACCTCAGAAACATGTCTCAAAACCGGTCACATCCTGCAGAAAATACCAGGAAGACACGTAGACGCGAGAACACATCTAATCACTAAGCGGAGGTTCTCACCCAAGGTCTTCTCCTTGCTTCGACTGCACTCTGAATCCTGCTGCCCGTCAGGAGGGTCGGTTCTCGCTTCTCGCCCAGGCGTCTCCTCTCGGGACTCCTTGGTGCGGTGCGCTGGGTTCATGATATTCCTGTTGTTTGTTATGTAGGAGCTGCCCTCATCTCCCAGTGAGTGTCTGTTAGTTGTGCCATCACAATTGGAGTCCTGATGTTGAAGAATATCATTAGCTGGAGAGTTGCGCAGCATTTCTGCTTTCACCCCTAACCCGCAAATCCCAGCTTCTTCCTTTGTGCTGATTACAAACTATAAGGAAGAGGAAAGAGAAAAAAGAGGAAGTAATGTAATCAATGTTTACAATCAATGGTATATCGCAGTTTGACAGGTTTTTTTTTCTTAGTGGTTTGCAAAATTGCAACAAACACAGTCATTTCTAGGTTTCACAGAGAGGTGACCTAACAGTAAAATACAAGGAAATGAAATTTAATGTACACCTACTCCTCATATATCAACCATCTCATTATCTGACATTTTCCATTTACAACAGTAAAAAAAAACTGCTATTTTGTTCACTAAGAAGAGACATACATCTAGCAGCAACACACACCGAGGAGGGAGGCAAGAGTAATGCTGACTGGAACTGTTAAGATTACGTGTCAGTTTGGCTGAGCGAGGCTTGGGCATGTTGTCAACCATCATCCAGGCCGAACCGACTCATTGCTGACCTTCCAGGGAGTTTGCAGAGGCTGGCTGTAAGTCACCCACCTTTCTCCCACAGAGCAGCAAGTGGATTCCGTTAGCCACCAGCTGCACTGTGGGATTGCCACACTTACCCCTCAGCCACCAGAGCGCCTAGGCAGTTATATAATGACCTAATTTGGCAGTCATTTGATATACAGTCACCCCGCATTTTGTGACTTGATAGGATAATCCTCCATTTTCTTCTTTCTTTAGAAATAAACTTTTTTAAAAAATTATTTTATTTGTGTGTGTGTGTGTGTGTGTGTGTGTGTGTACCGTCAAATCGGATCTGACTGGTACAGAAGATTGTCCCTCCTTTCCCAGCAGAGCATCTGGTGAATTCGAACAGTGCACCTCTGGGATTGCAGTGCAGCTTCTTGTCACTAGGCCACCAGAGCTCCCCTAGAAATAAACCTTTTTTTTAAAAAAAATTATTTTATTATTTTGTGTATGTATACCGTCAAATCAGATCTGACTGGCACAGGAGGAGATTGCCCCTCCTTCTCCAGCACAGCATCTGGTGGATTTGAACCACATATATCTGAGATTGTAGTGCAGCTTCTTGCCACTAGGCCACCAGAGCTCCCTTAATCCTTCATTTTCATATAGGGAGTTCTGGTGGACTACTGGTAAAAGCTGTGATGCAATCCCAAAGGCATGCAGTTTGAAACCATCAGCTGCTCCACAGGAGAAAGATGGGCAATTTACTGCCTCTGAAAACCCGCTGGAGGGTCAGTTAGGAGTTAACTGTGACTCTACAATACACAATAAAAACAGCAAAACCATTTTCATTTAATGTCATTTTTCACCTAAGGATCTTAACCATGTCAATACTGGAAAACAGGTGTAGTATCAAAAGTGGCAGTAAATATTGTAGTTAATATATTTTTTAACACACATGTACACACAAAAGTTACTGGGAAAGTACAGATGTATCATTTCAAATTACAACTAAAGAATTAAACTATCAAAAACAGGAGAGAGGGGAAAATTTTTTACAAAGAACAACAGGAGAGGACAGAGAGAGGAGGAGAGGTTAACGAAATCCTCATCTTGTAGAATTCAAAATTAGTAAAATGAAGTAAGCTTCTAGAAAGCTAATTTGCCACAACCACTTTGAAAAACTGTGACAGTAAACTTTCTAAGTCAGTGATTAAATTCTTAGGATTTTTTTATTAATATTTTTTT